TATATATAAATAAATATTGGCTGATAAATTTTATATGTAAATAAAAATTGAAACATTGAAAAGATGTTATGTACAAATGTACACATATGCGCGCGCGTGTGTGTGTGTGTGTGTGCGCGCGCACGCGCGCGTGCGTTTTTAATAATTTAACGAACTTTGTATAAAAAAGTATGGATGAGAAAATAAAATTTATTGATTTTGTTGAAAAAGTAAGGAAAAAAATGATTTTAATTCTGTATGTATTACAATAATAATCGAATATTCATGATGAATCTTCCTTGAGATATAATAATCAGATCATTTAGCCGTAATCGGATAATGTAGCAATCTGTCGATCTTGCACGAAAGGCTTCTTAGATGATTTTATGTACTGTTATTTGTCGTAATTTTGGTGAAGTAATGGATGTGCACCGATTATTACAGATAAAGATGTAAGTAGCAAATCACTTATTTCCACTTTTTGTTTATCTCATATCAAGTGAATATAATTATCAAATCCATTACTTCTGATCCAATGAAATTAGCTATAATTGAGTGAGATCTGCTATAATTAATTTCATGTTGCGATTAAAGTCTTTATATAAATGATAAATTGATTCGTTATTTTTCGAAAGTATTGTAAAACCAGTCTCAGATATTTTGATAAAATTATGATTATTGTTTTCAATTTGCAGCTTGTTAAAATAGCTTGGGATGCAAAACTGAATTTACATCATACTTTCGAAATATCGGCTCAAATATTTAAGGTAGTACTAGCACGATAATATTGTTCAAAAGTTTAGTCCTGTTGTGATGCTCAGTGGCAATACCTCACTCCCACCAGAAAGAAAAAAAACTTTCGATTTTCCTGTCCTAAGCCACACGCAAACGTAGAAAGAAAATGAATACAGAGATAGACCCATACTAACGCTGGTGCTGTTAAATGTTCGCTAGCCGTCCCTTCTACTTCTCACTACTCCCTTCAGTTGCCAAAGAAAAACATCGCATTTTTTTCGCGGTTCTATTTTCCTAACTAAATGATCAAATATTATGACCTTTTTTTTATAATATCTGTTTCTTCATTGTGTGCTCGTTTTTTATAACAATCCTAAGAATGATAGAAAGCACTTCAACTTACTTGTATGTCAAATTTTAGCATTTGTAAGAAAATCATTTTATGCTAGTACTACCTTAACAAAAATAAATGAAGTGATGATTGCCATAATCACTGTAAAAACTTAATTATGAAAAACATTCATTTTGTTTATCGATAAATGAGATAGAAAACATGGCGATCATTATTATTAGAAAAGTGTTATTATTATTCATTAGGGAATAATTTTAGTCTAAAATTGCACACATAAATTGTTAGATAAAGAAAACAAAGTCATTTTGCGACACAGAATTGCGTCTTACGCAATTATTTCAGTCGCCCAATAATTAATTAAAATTTATACATACATACATACATATACATGTATACGATATGTATATCTGAAATAACACTCACTAATGATATAGTGTTATTCCTAATAAAAATTGAATGAAAAGTCCTCTATCATGTTGCAATTTTCGCAATATTTTTTTTAATTATCCAATGAGCAAAACGTCTAAAACATATAAGACAACTTTAAGATATCTTTAAGAGTTTTTAAAAAACATTTTCAAAATATTTCACAAAGAACAATAAAAAATATCTTAAAATTGTCTCATACATCGAATTTTATTCGTTTATTTAGCAATTTTTAGAAATTAATATCTCGCCAACTATTGCGAAAATTGCAAAATGATAAAGGACTTCTCGACTCAGTTTTTTATTAGAAATAGCACTATATGATTAGTGGGCGTTATTTAAGATATATCCCGATATAAGATATATATACATATACTATACAGAGTGAGACATTTAAAACAGGTCACCTAAATAACTCGCTGGTTTTAACAATATAGTGGAACTTCCCTAATTTTAATGCTCTGTAACTTTTTTATTTCCTAGAATATTAGAAACGACAATAATTACGAGCAAGTACATAAGGATGAAGATATGCTTAAAGCTATATATTTTCTTACAAACACAATTTGATTTACGTTTTGACTTCACGGAGTCTTTTTCAAAATCTATACAACATCTAAATCATATACATGAGTAGTTTAATGATACATATAGTCAAACTTAGAATACTATCATTAAAAGACCAAAACGGAAAGAAAGATCTTCATATTACATCTATTTTGTGAGAATGGTCTTGTTAATTATTTTCAAACTCTCGATATTTTCATCGTCAAATAATAAAATGGAATTAATAGAAGATTTTTCATTGTTTAGTGAGAATCATAGTATGTCAATTTGAAGTAGTTATCAATTCTAATTGATAAATTGTCAGTGGTCAGTATAAAGTTATAAGTAAAATAAAAAAAGACACCATCATTTCGAATTTTCTCTTGTCGTTGACGTCTCCCTTTATGTCTCCTTAGATGTTATACATTTTGAAAAGGACTCTGTGAAGTCGAAACGTAAATCAAATTGTATTTGTAAGAAAATATATAGCTTTAAGCATGTTTTCATCCTTATGTACTTACTCGTAACTATTGTCATTTCTAATATTCTATATTGCTAAGCAAGATAACGAGCGATTTATATATTGTTGATTTTTCATTTCCCCCTCTATACACGCATCGGTAGGAATGGTGTCTCCTGGCGTTTGGCACCATTTTACAATATTAAAAATTTTTATACATAATTACAATATTTTGTGCATAATAAAAGTATTTGAATATTGGCAAGAGAGAGAGACACCAAGGTATCTCACTCATATTATAGTAATAAATGTGTGAGACAGCAAAAGGACACCGCGAGCTGACATCAAGTCCAATTATTTCACTCTCAATCGTGTGCCTTGAACTAAGGACAAAATATCGGAATACTCACTACTTTCTCCCTTTGCGCTCCTCGCCTCTTTCGCGTTTCCCGTAATACGTACGTGTGCGCTTCGATACGAGTGTGTAGCGCCGCGCGCCGAATGCTAGGGGACACCATTCTTGCCGGTGCGTGTACATGACGTCATGTATAAAAATTTTCAGTGTTAAAATAGGTTATGTTGCATTGGCATCTATGCAAACGTTCTCATTATATGTAATACATGCTATTTCTTTTTAATGCTTCGCTCCTAATGTAAGAATAGGAAACTAGGAAGAACCCCTCTCTAATTTCTCACAGCCTCGCGTAATAGAAGTTAAAGAAGTTCTACTGTAGAAGAAAAAGTGTCAAACAAAAGTTGCATACTTTTAAGGGGTCAAAGTATTAAAGTAGTAAAAAAACCAATAGTTTACGAAATATTTTATACTTTATTCTGTCACAGAATAAGTTGATAAAATATTAAATATCTTGTGAACTATTGATTTTTTTATATCACTACTTTAATATTTTTATATGCAGAATAATTAGAGGAACCATATTGGGTAAAAAAAATTATATAATTCCGATTAAAAAAATGAAGGTAATCTTCATATCTTTTTAACGCTTCCACCTAGAAGAAAGATAACATGATCAAAATACGTTCTCTTTGAAACTCATGTAATTTTTGTTTGACATTTTTCCTTCTATTGTTAAAATCAAGTGAGTTATTCAGGTATCCTGTTCTAAATGCCTTATTCTGTATGTAATATATACAGAGTGTCTCGCAATTTTTCGCCAAGCGCTTTTGTATGAATAGGACGGACTAAACTGATTATGAGTTTAAATTCTCTACATTTTGCAATTTTCGCAATTCGTTAACGAAATATTAATTACTAAAAATTACTGAATTTTGGTCTTCAATAATTTTTTACTCAAATATCATTAATTTTACAGGAAAACAGCAAAAGATAAAAATTTTATATTTTCTTCTCATTAAGCTTTAAAAAATTTTTCGGAATTTTTTATTAATTTTTTAATAAAGAAATGCATTTTCTTTTATATATTATAGATATATATATTTCTGTAAAGTTAATAGTATTTGAGTAAAAAATTATTGAAGATTGATATTCGGCAACTTTTAGTAATTAATATCTCATTAACCATTGCGAAAATTGCAAAATGGTAGAGGACTTTTCGACTCACAATCAGTTTAGTCCACCCTATCTACACAAAACTTGGTAAAAATTTGCAGGACATTATTGTATATCAATAATTTGATATAAGATGTATTTAATATCATTAATTTTTTTATAAAAACTTATAATTTTTCCAAAAGATCGAAAAATTAATGTTAATTATTACAATGTTACATAATTTCAATATTTTGTTTATGTAATTAATTGCGTAATATATGTAAATTATTTGTATTTTTCTTTATAAGATTAAATACTGACGATAAAAGTATTCGATATGTATTATAAAAAAAATTTTTTAGTTGATCTATAATACTGCTCATTATAAATTTAAACTAAGAAATTAAGACTAAGAAGGAATCAAACTGAACCAATAATGTTAATAATCAATCTTTAAATTATGTATATAAAAAATTATGTTAAACATCAATCTTTAAATTGCAAATGTTTCAATCATTTTACTAGAAATGATCATCATAAAATGATCAAAACGCGTTTTTAAAGATTGATGTTTTATTGATCATTAATGTAATCGATTCAGTATGGCTCCTTTAGTCTTCGTTAATTTGAATCTGTATTCATTTTGAACCTTATTTAAAGTTGATATAACTGCTCATTATAGCTAAGTTAGAAAAAATCAAGAGTATACCAACTTATGATCGAGAAAACAAAAGGTATGTTATCATTTGACATATTTGTTCATCATACACCGTAGTA